ACCAGAAGCCTGACACACACAAACGACGCAAGCACTGGGAACCCTGGAGCAAAATCTCACGCTGTTACAGCACTCTGAGAGGCTGTGCCGATATCCCAGAGTCAGCTGTCATCCCCAGTATCAGTGCCCTGACTTTCACAGGGACTATTCAGCAGTTTAAGAATTGTAGGCACCTTACCACTGCTGAGAGAAATCAAACAATGGCTTCACAGCAGGATCAGTCCCAGAGCATTCCTTATGAAATTACATACTTTTAAACTGAGAAAAATATATAATTTAGAGGTAATTTTTTTTCTGCAATTGTTGGTGCTGCTTTCATTTACCGTAAAGGAGCAAGGATGCAAGAAAATATTGCCACCCACCCATAAGCACTGAAGAAGGAAACTACAGCAGATTCACTTGCAGGATGGAAGCTCTGTTTAGGATACCTCTCATCTCCATGGGGATTTTTATCTGTCTTTATAGGACTATTTGATGAAAAGGGGAGCTGACAATAATGACTCAAAAGGAAATATCTAAAATAAGGTTTTTGTCTACATCCACATTATTTGAGAAACACTGAAACACTTCCATTTGCACATACACAGAAAATTCACATCAGCACTCTTATCAATGTTCAGATTTTCTAGGCCTGTATCCTAGAGGAATTTGAGTCTCCATCTTGGATTTTGAACTCAATTGTCATTTCTTCTATAGTGTACTCTACCAAAACTTGTTGTTCTCACTCAGACACCTATTTCTGATGTGTAGACATCCAGAAAATCACATCTGGTTTGTCTCCACATTTGCTTGTTGAAAATAAGGCTGAAAGAAGCCTTATTTGCATTAAAATCTGGACAGTCATTCACTGTAATTCCACAAAGGCTGAATTTAGTTAAAAAAGAAAGCTAGAAAGGTTCAAGTCTAATGTGAATTAAACTAAGAATCTCCACCTCAGTTAATGTTAGATGCAAACCATAGAAAAGCCACAATAAATAATTTAGATATTGTCAAGCAAAACATGCACTACCTGATAAGGGAGCATTTCCCTTTTATTAACCCCTAATGGTAATTAGCTACTTACGTTACTAAGAGAGCTTCTCACCTTAAAAAACTTGCACATTGATTTGCTTTGAACAGAACAAACAACAAAAAAACTCAAATCCTGTGATATTGTCAACACTGAGCCTGACAATGTAGAAGCCAGAACTTCTTTGAAGATAATAGCTCCCATTTCCCCATTAGTGTCGTTTAAAAGTTTAAATTCCTACACTGAGATTTTACTAAATTTCTTGGGTTTGTTTGCATGTTTATTTCAGGCACACACTGAAAGTGGAGACTCAGAACTGTCATTATCTGCTTGCCTAGAAGTCCAGCCTCTCACACAGACCAATTCCAACATCCTTTCAGATATTACACACTTCCTTGACACCCAGAACTGTGACCTAGTTGAAAACACCCCAAGTCAGATGTTCTGAGAATCCCATTTATACATAAAAATACTCTCATTGCTCCTTCCAGCCACTGGGAGAAAAAAAACCCAACTGTCTCCAGAACCACAGAAATCACCTCAATAGAAACATGTGCAATGCACACCAAACATTTTGAAGTCACAGGCCTGTTAGCATTCTGGTCAGGACTAAGTATATTAGGCATCACTCCAACCTGGGTAGCACTAAGGGGGATATTTGCATAATGAGGTGCCCCAGCAGCCAAGGAGATGTGTACCTGATACTTCAGGACACATGGTGGGCATATGTGGGAGCATCAGAGTCAGAGACACACAGTTCCCATCCCCCCCCAGAGTTGCAGGCAACACCCATGGTGTAGGCAAGGCGTGGACAGTCTGCTTTAACTCACATATGGGTATGGGTAGGGGAAGACATTCTTTTCTCCCTTCTCCTTTGGTATCCAGCTGCAAGGAAATGGCCAGAGACAAGTCTGAACACGCAGATCATAGAGTCATAGAATGGCTTGGGTTGGCCAGGACTTTATAGGCCAACCAGTTCCAACCCTGCTGCCATTGTCAGGGATGCCACTCACCAGACCAGGTTGCTCAGAGGTCCATCCAACTTGACCTTGAACACTTCCACGGATGGGCTATCCACAGCTTTTCTGGGCAACCTGTTCCAGTGTCTCACCATCCTCACAGGGAAGAATTTCTTCCTAACATCTCCTCTCAATCTGCTCTCTTTCAGCTTAAAGCTACTGTGCCTTGTCCTATAACTATCTCCTCATACAAAAAGTCCCTCTCCCTCCTTTCTATAAGCCCTTTTCAGGTCCTGGAAGGTGCTGTAAATTCTCCCCAGAACCTTCTCTTCTCCAGGCTGAAAAAGCCCAACTCTCTCAGCCTGTCTTTCTATAGCAGAGGTGCTCCAGCCCTCTAAGCATCTTTGTGGCCTCCTCAGAACCTACTCTAATAGGTCCATGTCTTTCTAATGCTGAGGCACCCCAGACATGGACAGACAAGGGATGCAAGAGATCCCTAGAAACTTCCACGAGGGACATAGCCATTCCAGAATAAGGATGCTGGGTGAAGCCTGGCACCACTTCTAATTTTATCTTGAGAAGATCCCACTGGACTGCCTGAGAGGAGCTAAAGAAAGAAAGGAAATTTCAGCTGTAGCCACAATAAAGCTAAAGTATTAGTTCCAGGAATATCTTTACAAAGACCACAACAACAAATGATGGATGTTCCAGAAGAAAAGTACATAGTGTCGTGGAACTATTTTTAATCTTCAATACAAAATACAGTCTAGTGAGTCACTGGCACAGGTTGCCCAGAGAAGCTGTGGTTGCCCCATCCCTGGAAGTGTTTAAGGCCTAGCTGGATGCAATGTGACTGTGGAAAAGGAACAAAGATAATTCAGGTACTGTCCACTCTAATGCAGTGATCTAAACCAAAGATCATTCTTATTCTCTTTATAACTGATAACTGATACTAATAACATTGTGTTATTTGTAGTTCATATGAGCATTTAGGGAGGTCTTCATTGCCCATACTTTTTCTATGTGTTATTACTCAAGCATCTGGTTGAATTTTTTATTTTTTTTATGCATTAGCACAAATTTGAAGGAAACATGTAGGTGGTGACCATAATGCTTCCAATTGAACTGCACTAGCAAGCACACACCACAGTAGTTTAGAGATTAAAAATAGGATCATTTGGATGTGTGGATTTGAATATGATTTATGGATCACTTCCAGAGACATTATTGTTGCTTATCATTCAGATGGCTGTAAAAGTGAAGACTGTGAGGGAAATCATGCAAGAGATACATTGCCTGCAGAATGGAGAAAAACATTAAATCTTGAAGTTGCTGATGCAGCAATTAATATTGCAACCTTCACTGCCTCCAATGCACAGAAGAAAAGGGTAGGATAGCCTAGACGCCTGCTTCCCATAAATAACTGATTTCAAGACTTAAAGGGAGAGACAGGCTTAAACATTGCACACTAAAGCCCCTTTGCCTTTCATCTTGGAGGAAATGTTTAATTGGTGTAATCAGGAGCTTGTGCTCAGGGCTCTCGGGTTGCACTTGCTGAACCTACAGGCCTAAAAGACTGCAAAATATCAGGGCAACCACACGTTCAGCAGGGAGGAGGCTCTGTGTTGTCCTGCTGCTGTGTGACCAGGGACACTTGGTGTCTAAAGATCTCAACTACAGAAGCAATTACAGAGGATCACAACTTTCCACAGCTGAAATTCAGAGGCAACTATTTAGACAACCACAAACATTTTTTAGTGACTTTTTTTTCTTTTGTTGCATTGGTCCATCCAGAGCAGACTGTAAGTGCCAAACAAAAGGAAGTACTGGCAAGTGCTGGTTCTCCTTAGTTTGCTTTAAACAGTGGGCTAACTCCACTGGTTTCAGCAAAGCTCACCCTGATTTACAACAGCATAAGTGAGACTAGGATCATGTTGTTCATGTTTTATGTCCATCACTGTGAGGACAAAAAAAAAGTGTATCTGACCAAGTTGCCTGAAATGAGACCTTTGCTTTGGCATACCCTTTCTGACATGATGAAAAAGATTGTAAAGCACATTAATTCCTCAAAGCAGTTGATGTGTGGACACAGTCAACTCCATACAGAAACCAGTAGATTTAAATATACATGCAAATACATGCATGCAAATAATTGTCAGAATAAAATCTCAAACGCATTTGACCAGCACATCAATATCCTTACCTTCTTAACGAATGCTGTTTTGCTGAGAAAATGATGGCTCCTTAGCCAACAGTCATGGTTACTCTTAAATAATTTCTTTTTCACCTATGAGTTCATAAAGTTCAAATGAGACTTTTTTAACCTCACACATTTGCTATTTGTGAGTTGGTTAATAAAAGTAATTATCAATATTCTCACAGAACTGGAGTGAAAATTTAAACTCTTTTGTGTGCAGAGAAAAACTGTGCATGTTCACCAAGAAATTTTATTTCTTTTGAGAAATATCCCGATGACTGTAAAGTTAATAAGCCATTTCCAAACTGAGAAAGGGCTTGAGAGAGGGAAATAGACTTTGCTCAAAAACATGAAGTATAGTTGTCTCATAACCAGCTGTGAAGGTCAGAAGTTAATTAAGGAATGCATGTTTGCAAACTTTTAATTAAAGGGGCCAGTGTGCTAAGAGGGCAATCTAAGAATGAAATATAATAATAAGCCTAATTCAGCCTTACTGTAGATCTCCACTGGTGTGACACGTTTGGGAAACTGGAGTATGTACAATGGGATGGACAAGGTTAATTGTGGTATAACCAGAATTATGGTCATATTATCCATAGTGTGGATATCAGTACAGGACACAGTACAATACATGAGGATATAAATACACCAAACTTTACTCTAACTACCTTCCTAGCGCCCAACAGTACAACCCTGATGTGAACTCAAACATTGTCAGTTTCGACCTGCCTCTTCCAGCAAGATCAGGCTCAGCAACACATTATCAATGTGATGAACTCTGTATCTGGTGGATTTTTGGATTAATGAGCACATCCCATCTTCCTGAGGTGTGAAGAGAAGAAGCTCAGAGTAGTCACCCCCTTGTGCAGAGACGGGGAGCAGCACAGTCCCAGCTGCTCGGCAGCAAGAGAGTGGAAAGCAAGTGGCACACTTTGGGAACTCTGTATCTTCAGCTGTACCCAGAGCACACCAGTTCTGCTGGCTGCATTTTAAGGGGCTGTCGTATGACCACTGATCTGCTGGGCACATTTTCCTCAGTTCTGATGCCAACTGAAACAAAAAGTGTACCTCCCTCAGCAGAATGTCTAGAGTTTTGTTCAAATTAGGGCTGAAGTGCTTGGCCAACAGATAGCAAAGGGCTGCACACCCAGCACAGAGGACACAAGACCATCAGGAAGGCTTCCTCCACTCCAAAAAAAAAACCACAACAAAAAACCCAACCAACCAACCAAAAACCCAAAACAAAACAAACAATAAAACCCCACAAAATCAAAAAAAAAAAAAAAAAAAAAAAAAAAAAAAACACAAAAAAACCCACAAAACAGTACAGAAAGTCCTAGTTCGTTTAATTAATTGTCCACTGTCCACTTACTTAAGGGACCTCGTTACAAATATATCCTCATCACAATGACAGGAAATCTATCTGAAAAGTCTGCAAAAAGGCTATTAATGAAGAGAGTTTCTAATGCCTATGAGCTGAAATACCTTTTCACTCCTTTCGCCAGTAGTTCCTGTGGGTCATTTCTGGGGTCAGCAGTGGTGTGCAGAGTAAAGACTCTGCCAGTGCTGGAGAAGGAAAAAAAAAAACAAGAAGAAAAAAGTATTTCAGTATTGTCAATCTTTTATCCTTGAACGATACACTAGAGGCTGACATTTAATACCCTAAGGATATAGATGTTTGAAAGCTGGTTATTGTAACAAAGGAAACCATCCAAACTCTGCAAGACCAAATGGATCAGATAAAGCTGCCACTGAGATAAATCTGTTTTACATCCATTCTTGCAAAAGTTTTGCTAATCTATGTAGTTATAGCTTTCCTGGAGCAAAAGGAGAGAGGAAAAAAAAAAGAACCCTACATTACAGCAAGTCAACATGTTGCCCCTATTTGTAATCTCCAAAGTGTAATGTCATGGTTAGAGAACATTTTTCTCCTGGATCTTGGGTGAACTCTACTAAAATGAGAAAGATAAAGAAAAAATTGAGAAAAAAAACACAAAGAGTGAGAGAGGGCATGAGGACAAACATGCATGCTCTTTCTGGTTGAACTTCCATGTTAACATAGTTTCTGTTTGTTTAACACATGAATTCAGATCTTTCATAGACACATACTCATCTTCCAACCAGTCAGAAACTTTAACACCCACTCTTCATTATCCGGTATTTATACCGCCAGATTGGACTTTCATATGGAAGCCTGGAGCAATGCTGGTACAGATGGCAAGATGACTCTGAAGAGATTGATGACTCTGAAGAAATACACAGTATTAAGTCAGAAGGTGCAAATGTTAACATTCCAATGCAGAAAAGAAATATTCCTTGCATACACTTCCCAGGTTTGTTTTCTCATGCATTACAAAGAGAAAGAAAAAGCCCTCGACACACCTTGTAGCTGGCAAATGAATGATAAAATTACTTTAGTTTTTTTTGTATGTCAACTGTTCATGCCTCAGGTACTTAACCTTTACTTTAAAAACATGGTTCAGATCCTAGCCTTGAAGGTAGGTGGGAAGAGGGGGATGGTATTCCTGTAAATGTTTCATTTAACAAAGGCAGTTCTATAAGAAAGTTCAGTGGTGAGACTCTGAATGGTATTTATTGTTTCAGATTTCAGGGCTTCCATACATCTGCTGCCCATCAAAGGCAGATACCACATTCATATTAAGTGCCCTGTCTGAAAAGAAAAAAAAAAGCAGCACTCTCTTCTCCATGGCTCAGCCTCCAGGATTATGTGAGATGGGAAGCTGCAAGAAGTCAAAGTTCTAATTTGCTGTAAAGATGATCAACAAGAAAATCTCCTGTTATAAAGGGGAAGGGAAATTTTACTTATCTTTTTACATTCATGGATCCAGATTCAGAACTATCCCTATTCAGAAAAGCTCATAACACGTTCTTCTGTGTCTCCATGCTCAGCAAAGTGTCTAAGAACTTAGCTGAAGCAGAGACCTAAAGAAGAACCATTTATATTTACACTAACTAAGCAGTTCATTTTACCAGGCCCATTACATGATTTCTGACTTTATTAGGTCTGTAATGTATATTTCACCCATGGTGAGAAACATGCTCATTCATTTCTTATGATATCATAGTCTTCTCCATGGTAATCTGGTGCTATGTGAAGAAAAACAATAGAAGAGAAAACTTTTCATGCCAAGATGAAGACAGATAAGGAATTATGTTCAGCTGGGTGGGAGAATATATAAGAGGAACAAAACCACTGGTTCTGAGGATTTGATTTATTTAGTATCTGGCATTGGCCATAAAGTGTGGGTAATGAAAAGCGTAGCTGACCTCAATGCCTCCTTAGCAGCAATCAGAAATTCATTTCAGTGTGTGAGCATTTAATTAGCTTCACTGAGTTTACAAGACCTTCAGTCATTTTAAGATACTCGAGGCAACTACCCCACACATAAGATTACCCTGAATCTGGAATGCCAGCCACTTAGGAAGAATGTCTGGAGAGTTTTAATTGAAGGGGATTCCTTTGTTTTTATATCCATTTGATGTGCCATTACCATTTCCTCCACCACTAATTTACACCAAGGGACTCAACTATTCCAAACAATTGTTTTAATCAGTAAATTACAGAAAAACCTTCAAGAAAGTTTAAGGTTTTCTGTGTCTAGGAAAAGTCAAATGGCACTATTAAATTTTTACAGCTAATCTAATTGTTACACAGTGCAGTCATTGTACCACTTCAGGCATCTGGGGAAAGTCATCACTTTCTCCCTTCTTTTACAAAGGACCTGAAATGTATTTGCTGCATGCATTTATTGTATGCATACAGTAAATATATATGGAGTGGGATTAACTAACAGGAGGCAATTACTAATTTTATTATGGCTTCACGAGGTCTGTATATCAAGCTCCTCTCCCTGGCAGGGATGAGGAATTGCTAAATACAGCTAATTTCTGGGCTGATCTTATTTATATACTGGACGCTAATCCTCTTCACATATCTCATGTGCTTCTTTCTTCTCAGAGATATTGTCCCTCAGTGACGTCCTCCTAGCATTTCATTAAATGCCTTCAGCCTCAGTAAATTACAGCGCTTTAAAAACATTGAGTTTAGCATTTAAAAAGAGAGAGAGAGTTTCTGTACGCTGCCATGGGATAAGGTGCAGTGAAAATCCCATACAAGCTAACTGTACTTCCTAATCAAATGGGTGTAACAGATGGCTGCTAGAGCAAGCCATCACAATGGAAATATCTGCAGTTCTCATGGTAACGGAATCTGCCAGGTCTGAGGGATTTGCTGTTTTCCAGGACATCTGAGCTGCAATCTCTTTCGAGCTGTCTAGCAGTCTCAGTCTCGCTCTCTCTCACTCTCTCAGCATGATGGAGATAGAGTTGAAAGGTGGAGCCTGATTTTGCATTCCAGCTGTGATTAAAGACATGCACACACAAATGCACACATATGCACACGTACACACACACACACACAGAATCAATGGGACTGCATATTCATTATGCTATCTAGAACCTCATTAACCACTCAGCCAGAACAGCAAGAAAATTTTAATATTCCTCCGTCTTTAGGGAGGGAAAGAAAGAAGTGTAATGGGAGAGAGGGGGGAGAGAGGAAGATAGCATGTGTGTGGGGAATTAAGATTCATGAGACGTACCTTTTAATAAAGATATGGAGCAATGTTAAAACTAGCAGTTGTTTCCATTTCGTGGCAGTGTGTCAAGATGACTTAACATAGCAGAGTGAAACATCTGGCCTGAAAAAAAAAAAAAATCATTATGTTGAATTTCCAAAACATAATATAGAATCTATGGAAGAAGGAAAAGAAAAAGAAAAAATATAGCAACTGCGTACCTTAATACTAAGTAAAAGCATGTGACAGACCTCCTGGTACTGTGTAATTAGAAAGGTGATCCTTCTCATAAGGTGTAGGATAGCATAAAGACAAAGAGCTTTAATTATAAATCTAAAGAATTGGGTTTAAATCCATAGGGCTCTCTTAAAAGGTTCTTATATTTCTGCATGCAATTCAGAATCATCAGCAGGCAGAAAATAATCATTCATGAGACTTTAATAAAAGTCCTTTCCTTCAAATCCCTATCAATTTAAAGAAACAAGAAGAAGCATACTGCCTTCTTTGCTAGACTACCTGCTAGAAAGCACACAGAGAGTTGATTCACAGCTGCCTATTCTCTTGGGTATTTGAGCCTGAAGATCAGACAACATGTAAGAATTCAGCCGTGGCTCAAAATGGAAACAAAGACGACTATTCTTAAAGCAATGTGAAATGAAAAACTACAGGCTGTAGACTGTAGACCTTAGCATGCTGATCCACCACATTGTCCTTGAGGGTACTAAAGTTAAATATATGTGACAGCCAAAGAGATGGGGAAAATGCTTTCCAGAATAAAATGACCCAATCTCCTTTTTTTTTCGTGATGTAGAATAAGCCAGGAAATATAAGCTCCTCAAGTACCCACTCAAGAACTGGGTATTCTAAGATGGTGTTGCCTACCTAATTGTGCATCACTGAAGAACATTTTTATGTGACCTTTTCTCTGCCACGAGTCTATTCCTCTGCAGTAATGACTTCTGGATAAGAGATTTAATTCTTATGTTGGGTTGATTAGTTTCAAATAGATATCTAGGGTTCACTTGCAACAGTTCTGCGACAGGCCTCTTGAGAGGCCTCCAAACCTGTTAACTAGCTAGAAATAGCTGTTGCTGGCAAGCAAAGATGGCTGCAACAACAACAGCTAAATAGAGATAATAGTTTGCATTCAGCACCAAAACATACAGCAATATGAGGGGTACAGACAGTCATGTCTGCTCACAGTGAGCAACGACTTAATGCACAAGCAGTTCCTCACAGTGCAGTAGGGCTCCTCATGCTGCAAAGTGCAGGGTTCCTTAGCGTGAGTTAGCAGCACTCAAATCCATGTCTACTGTCTGCCACTTCTGTGCAAACTAAATAACACAGTTGTTCTTCACCTGACTATGAGAGGCAGCCACCCTTGGACTGACTTTCAAAAGTATGTCACATTCAACTGAGTCAGTAGAAGATTTCAGTTCCTTTCTTAAAATACAGCAGTCATTTGCAACAGGAAAAATGGTGCATGGTTTTACCTTTTAACAGTTCTGGTTGGGATGAGGGGGTTATAAAAGAACATATACAAGCAGTTCTGTTCATCCTCCCACTATATGAGGTACTGTGTGTCTGTTTCCCCATAAAGTCAATTAAGATTCACAATGCCATGGGCACACATACCTTTCTTTATGTTGCATTCAGCACTATTGTAGACACAAATTCTGCAAATACAGCCTCAATGTGGTTGGTTAAAAATTATTTTTCACTCAACTTGGAATACATCCAGGGCTAAGTAGCAACCATCCCAGCCTTAGTAATGATGCAAGAAACCAAGAAACTCTCTTACACATTCTTACTTGATAAAGCAGCTCTCCAAGTAACTAACTGTTCAACATTGCACTGCACTGCTATTACTGTCCTGCTGATATTTATTCAGAGATCAGAGTGTTCCTTGCTGCACGTTGTGTTGAAAGTTCTGACTCAGACTAGATTTGTGTGCTGTGCAGTGTGATCAATGGCGCTTCAAGCCATGGAGCCTCACACACAGAATTTATCCATTCCTGAGGTCTATTAGCTTCTCCTCAAACAGCTAATCTTAGCACACATATGAAACACAAGTCTACTTGCACAGAGCTCTCTTCTCTAGACATCATTTCCTTCCATTCAGAAACACTGTGTTGGTAAGTAATTTTTACTGTCATCTGACAACGTCTCTTGCCCATTGTTCACAGATGGTTCACTTATATGCATCCCTTAGCAGGAAGCCTGTCCCTCAGCCTGCTCACCCTACTTGCTTTGTGCCTTAAGCACTATGACTCTACCAGATTACCAAGTCTACTCATTTCTGCTATGCTTCTCGAATATGACATTCCTTGGAGATCAGGACAACAAGAAAGCCTCCTTGACTGTCTAAAAGTCTTTCTTTACCCCAGTCAGAGATCGAGCATCTGATCTTCAGCATTAGCAAACTGTACCAAATACCCGCATCTGGGTATCTCTTGCATCCAGTGTCAATCATGCCTTCCTAAAACACAGTCCATCTTGAGCCCTGATACACCCTTTCTGCTGGGATAACTCCATCGTGTACCTCTGATGCAGGAGATCTAGTGACTCCAGCAGACCTCACGGTCTACGGCAAAGCTGAAGTGGTCCCAAGCCACACTCTATGGTGATGCTTGTTAATCCTCAAGGTAGATCAGAGGGTTGCATTTCAGTTTTAGGATGTGACACACTTTTAACAGCTGAAGCTCTGAGAAGTCCTGAGTTTCTTTCAGTCCCAGATTGCTCCTGGTCCCCAGCTGACTCCAGCCCAGACAAAAAAATCATTGGTACTTAGAATTAGTGGGGTGGTGCAGGCTGGAATCATAAAACTCTGAAATAGACCCTGTTGCTATTTCAGTTCTAATTGCTCTCTTTGCTGCCTGGTTAGCAGACACTTTTCAATCAATTGCTGCATTTGTGCTGACAACACTGAATTACAAGAGTTGCTCTTGTCATTTCTGTGACCTCCATCTTCAATTGTTCTTGCTTTCTGGCCAGGAGGTAAGGGACCTTATTTCTAACACTCACAGCCATAAAGCAGGGAAGGAATCTTCCCATACCCAACAGCCCCAGATTCCCAGCTGCTACAGAGAGCACACTGCAAACCTGCCACTGCACATTAGTTGAGAAGCTGACCTGTAATACTTATGTGGGGATGGAGTCCTGTGATTTGTCATTTTAATGATAACCAAAAAAACCCCCAAAAAACTAAACATCCCCTTTTACTGAAGTTGTCTCTTCCTGGCAATTTCACACAGAGATCCCAGACCCTAAACTTCTCAGCCCACTGAGCTTTTCCCATCCCCTGCAGGGACTTCACACACTACAATGAATCCTCTCCAGTCAGCAGCTCCTGCAGTCCCGTGCATGCTTCTAACACCTGCTAACAGAGGGGATAATGGATGAGCCCTGCCCCACCCCTTCACACAAAGTACGGCCTTATTCTTCAGAAACACTGCTCAGAGCAGGATGCTCCGTTACTGGACACTCCTATAAATACACCACACTTTCAGATGGAGGAAGCGAGCCTGCTCTAGTAAATATTTTAGCAATGAAGTGGCATGGGGTTCTTAATGATTGTCATTTTTCAACATAAGAAGCACTCCATCAGAAGGTGCTCTACCCTCAAGGGAGAGAATGTGCATTCTCACACTAATGGGACAGCCAGCGGCCAACACCTTATCAGTATTAACTTTCCTTGATAATGTTTGGTTTTTCCTCCACTCCACCACCTAATGTTCAGGAAGCACTTGATTTAATAGGAAAGTTCATAATGTTAAGTTACAGACACCAGGAGAGGGAAGCCTGGTAGACTACAATTGGCAAGCAACAAATTATTAAAAATAAAAATCTTGGCTTTCTCTAGGATAAAAATGTTTTTGTCTTTGTTTTTTTTTTTTTCTTTTAAAAATGAGCTTTTGTCTCTGTGGTAAGCTTGGTGGTGAGCTGGAATGCTTGTGGTGATTGAGATGGGGAAAGCAGCAGAGCTTTGGTGGTCTGGAAACCAGTGTGTAAGCAAGGAGTGAGGGCATGCAAGCCGAGATATGACTCTGCTGACACTAACCTAGTTGTTTTATGGCGATAATACCAATTGCTGAGCACAGTAATGCTGCCAGGACTAACTAGGACTGCCTGTGACACAGGCAAAGAGAAGGATAGTATTTTACAGCACGCCTGAAGTCCAGGCAGGAGAGCTCCATGGCAACATGCAGGGGTCTGTTATTCTTCCATTCACTCTCAAGTGCAGTTCCTGGCATTGATATGATCTCTATACCATGAGGCATGAAGGATCTTTGCTCCTCTTTCTCTCCAAGCTGCCAAGTTGCAGCTCTTTTCCTCAGCCTTATCCATCCCTAGAAGTGGGGTTGAGAGAGTAACATGTCTCTGCAAAACTGTTCTAGGATGCCTTATGAGAAAAAAGGAACTCCGGAGGATGGTTTCTGCAGGGCCTTGAAAGATTTTTCTGTGGCAAGCGATAAATAACCCCAAACCTGCAATGTGCAAACAGTTGCTAATAGGTTTAACTTCATGCATGTGATGATTTCTAGAAATAAGATATTTCACAGGTATGTGCACACACATACACAAAAAAAATAGTCCTGGCTCCATCCCACACATCTTTGCCTGTACTAGTTTGAAAACTGTTTGCAATGACTGGAACAAAGATCATACCGTATTTCCTTTAGATAATGGAAGAGAAGAACAAAAATCAGGACTGTGGCAAGTGCAATATTTCATTCTTTCCCTTGCATACTCAGCAGAGTTTGTAATCAAGCTTCCTCACTTGAAGACACCCTTCCTGCAAGTATGGAAATGGGTAGTGTCTGTTTCTCAGATTTGTGAAATGTCATCTTATCAAAGCTGTTATAAAAGAGACAGGACAGGACAGAATGTCACCTGCCTGTAGAATGTGTGCTGTTGCTTTCCTGCAGAGGTGACCTTGGACCTCTCTTTCACTTCCAAAGCTTTATGTGTCTTGATCATTTAGATGCTAAGTTTGTAGGAGGAACGGAGAAGCAATTTTTACTGTATGTAAAGTGTACAGCACAATGACACCATCTCAGGTGAGGTAATGTGCCTGTATAAATACTTTCCTTTTTTTTTTA